TTTTTTAATTTTTTTTTTTTTTTTTTTTTAAAAAATATATTTTAATTAAAAAAAAAAAAAAAAAAAATAATGTATATAAATAAATAAAAANAACATTAATAAAATTATTGCAGTGTATATGTAAGTTTAAATGATGAATATATTTTAATGATGATGCAATAACATCATTATAAAGAAATATGATTTTTTTTAAAAAAAAAAAAAAAAAAAAAAAAAAGGAAAAGAAAAAGAATAAAAACTATTTTTACTTTATTTTTACATATTTCTATTTAACAAAAAATATTTATTAAAAAAACTTTTTACAAATAAATGCATACACATATATAAATGAATTTATGTATAATTTTTTTTTTTTGAACTACATTTATCGATATTTTAATAATTATATTTTAAATTAAAAAAAATACCAAAAAAAAAAAAAAAAAAAGCTTTTTATATATGAATACAAAATTAATCTGTTTAAATAATACATTAAATTAAAACACTTCTTTATTTTAACTTTAAGAATTTTTTACAAAATATATATATCTGGAAAACTAAATAAACATTATTTATTTATTTTTTTTTTCTTTTTAAATTCTTAATAATGAAATTATCTTTTCAGCTATTTTTTTTATTTTTTTTTTTTCTTATATTTTGGAATAAATTAAAATCTGAGGTTAAAGAAAAAAAAAAAAAAAAAAAACATTGTACTGATTAATGTTAGATGTTTAAAATATAAATAATATTTTACATTACAATTATTTTTTTATTAGTCTAAATATAATGATGAAGTAAACAAAACGAATGATGGTATCTCTGAGGAGGAAAAAGAAGAAGTATATTTAGAATTTGCTGAATATGATTTAAATAGAGATGGTATGTTAATTTTTATGAACAAATTTTTAATGTGAAAATAATAGATTCTAAAATTTAGAATTGTAGAGAAAAAAAAAAAATCTTACAAGTTAATATTAATGTTTTTTAACAATTCAAAATATATTTAAAATTTCTTCTATAAAAAAAAAAAAAAAAAAGATATGTAATATATTAATAGATAGAATTATTATTATTTTTTTAATAAATTATAAAAGTTGTGTAGTTTTGTAAATATTATAATCATTATTAATTAAAAATTTAAATTAAAATATTAATGTAATTCATGTATTATATTTTATATTTATTATATTCAATTTTTTTAAGGTTTAATTGATGCTGAAGAAATTACATTAGTTTTAAAAAATATGAAAAAATCTGACTTTGTAAATTTTTTTATAAAAGTAGACTTGGATTCATCAGGAACAAGTAGAAAATTTTTTTATTATTTTAATTTATATTAATATTTTATAAAAATTTTTTTTTTAATATGCTAACGTATTTTCTTTTCTTTTTTTTTTTTTTTTAGTTTCATTTGATGAATATATGATATTTATAGAATCAAACTAAAATTATAAAGAGATATAAAAAATTTTTAATACAGAAAAGTAACTTCTGGAAATAATTTTTCTATTTAAATAATTTCTTTACAGGGGGTTATTAACTATTTTAATTAAGTTTTTCTTTTTATTTGTTTTTATTATATAACACATTTATATGTTAAATGTAAGAATTATTTGTTTTCATGTAGCTTCCTTTTAATATTAATTAGTAATAAATTTTTGTAATTCTTGAAAAAAAAAAAAAATACTTATCTCAAAATTAATTAATAATAGAATTATTATATTTAATTTTTTTTTATAGAATTTTTAAATTTATGAACTAAGTTTTATTTCACGAATTTATGAAGATGTGAAAAAAGAAAAACTGTTTTAAGTTTTAACATAAAATTGGACATAAAATTTATAAGCAAATTAAAGAATTTTATATTTGTTGTATAATTTCATATTTATTAAATGTTTCAAGAGAACAAACAATATGCACATATATATAAAATGTATATTTTTAGAGATTTTTTAAAACATTATTTTTATTTTGTATAAATATGTCAATTACTTTATATTATGTAGCTGATTGTTTTAAAAAGTTTTAATATATATTTGTATGACATAAACATAAAATATTTTTTGAAATATAAAATAAAATTTAAATATTTATTATAATTATTCAAATATTATTAAATTTTCCATACAAAAAAAAAAAAAAAAATAACATATATTATAATTCTTAATCTTACAGAATCACTAGTAAATACGTGATTATTTTTTTACCCTTATATATTTTTACTATTGAGAATAAATAGAAATTTCGTGAAGAAATAAAAAATTAATACTGGTGTGTATTATAAGCTATATGTTCTTCCTAATTTTTGTGAGATACTTAATTTTTTTTTTTTTTGTTTTTTTATTGTGAAAAGTCAAAACTTAATGAAAATGGTTATTTCTCTATTTAAATCAATATTAAGTCTCAATATATATAATTTAAAGAATGATAATTACGGGGAATCATCATATAATTTATTCCTCAAATAATTAAAAAGTTTGTTCACATAATTAAGAAGATGTTTTTATAAGTATTGTAAATGCCTTATTATAATCTCTATAAATAAAAAATCATCAAGGAAAAATTTATAAAATGCAAATACAAAAATTTTGCATTTATATGTTTACCTCATAGAATTGTGCTTGCTCTTTTTTTTATATTAAAATTATTATGTAAAAATTGTTGCTAAAAATAAGGTATGAATAGCTTATTTATTTTTATTTGTTTTAGATAATATATACATTTTCCTATTTAGAAATTAAATAAGAAAAAATTCTTATAAAAAAAAAAAAAAGAGGCTGTTATATATTTACCTGAATAATTTTAAAATAGTTCATAATATTTATTTTATACACATATATATATATATATATATTAAGAATTAGTATAAAATTTAAATTAACATATTTATAGACAAATTATATTTATAATATGTAAAAAAAATAAGGTGTAAAATTATATTTTTTTTGAAGAAATTTCAAATTAAAATATTTCTTTGTGTAGTATATTAAGTAAACATATAATTAAAATGAACAATTTTTTAAAATAAAAGCTAGGAATTTATATAAAATAATGTAATTATTTATATTAATTTATTGGATAATAAAATAAAAAATGTGTCGCTTTTTTTTTTTTTTTTTTTGTTAATTTTATATTTATAAATATATATATGAAATCAAATTATGAGTGAACTATAATTTCTTTAATATATTTTTTAAAAATATAATTTTAACGTTATGCTCATGTTAGTTAAATCTTTTATCACTTTTTAAAATGAAATATAGAGAAAATATTCATATTACAATTAAATGATACTTGTGAGAACATAAATAAAATATATAGGTGTATCATAAGAAAAAATTTTCGTTAGTTTAAAATTAGCTTTCCATGTTATGCTCAAATGATACAAAAACATATTTCTAATCATCTAAAGATCTTTTAAAATATTTTATTATTTTAAAATAATCTTGAGATTTGATTTTAAAAAAAAATAAATATTAAATAACCAGTATTCAATGTATTATTTATGTTAACAAAATTCTAATATTTCATGTAAATTTTTTTTTATTTTTATAAATAAAATACTATATATGGGATATTCATCTATTTCTATATCTTAATTTTATAAATATCTTACAATTAAATGAGTGTCCTTTATATTTATATCAAAAAAAAAAAAAAAAAAAAAAAAAAAAATATATTTTAATTATACAAATCATGTATATAAGTAATTAAAACAAAAACAATATAAGTTTATATTTAAAAACACTAGAAAATCATTCAATAGAGTATTTTATATATATAGTAGTTTATAAAAAGTAGAATTAAATTTTAAATATAATATTAAAATTTTTTCTTAAAATATGTCGTAAATTCTTAATAAAAAGAATATATGATATATTAAGCAAATAATATTCTATTAAAATATTAAAAAATCAAATAAAAAACTTTAAGTAAAATTTATTTTGCATATTATGAGAGTATTAAAAAAAGTCCGATGAACCGGAATCGAACCGGTGACCAACAGATAACCATTACAACTACAGTCTGCCGCTCTACCAACTGAGCTATCATCGGAATACTAGAATCACTTTTGTATTATATCATTAGCTTAATTTATATGGATGAAAAAAAATAAAAATTATATACTTTATTTTTATAAATTTAAATAGCTATGAAAACCAAAAAAAAAAAGAAAAAATATATATATATACATAAAAGTAATATTTTAAAAAATAATTTTATAAAAAATATACACAATTTCTTTTTTTACACGATATAAGAAAAATTATTTATTTAAAATATTAGTTATGAATTAATAATATATATGACAAATTTATTAAAAATTAGAGCATTATTTTTGATAATGCAGTTAACTTAAAGATAATATTTACTGAATATTTATTTTAATATTATTATAATTACGGGCGACTAGCTCAAGTGGTAGAGCGCTCGCTTAGCATGCGAGAGGTACGGGGATCGATACCCCGGTCGTCCATTTAAAATAAAATACATTTTTAATGAAATAATATATTAAATTTACTATATTGTTAATTTTAAGTTAATATAAATGTGATATATGAAAAGAATGCATTATATAATATATAAAAAATACTTTTATAAGATAAATTTATATTAATAATTAATGAGAATTTTATTTAAAATATGAAAAAATTAAATAAAATGTACTTAATAGTTTTTTCTATGTTGCGAATACTACATTCACATTTTTAATTAAAATTATAAAATATTTTACTCTTTTATTATTAATAATGAAATTATTTTTTATTTTGTAAAAAATCCTTAATTATGTAAAACTCAAGTTACATCAACTTCCTTATGGATAAGATTTATTTTATTTTTTATATTTCTTATTTTTTTTTTATTTAAATATTTTTTTTTTTTTTTTATGTTATTTTATTTTTTATTCAACAGAAACCTTTTAAAATTTTGGAATAATTCCTGTTTTTTTAGAAAAATTTATGGATAATATTGAGGAATATAGAGACATTTTTTTGACTTTAGTCATATTAAAATTGATGTTTTCAACCAAATTATACTAAAGTATTTATAATAAATTCAATTAATATTATAATATTTTGTTAACTTGAACAGAATAAAATTCAATTTAAATTAATATATGTTTGTTCTTTTAAATTGTATTTAAATTAAAAATTATTAGTAGATAGGAAATTTTCAACACCTGAAGCTTCGATTAAAATAACAAAATAAGAGGAAAATAAGATAATAATATATCTTAATAAAATGAATGAATATCATATAACAAAAAATGATTTAAAATGAATCATTTTTTATACGAAAACAATTATTATACAAATTTAAAATATATTTTTTTTTTTTTACAAAAATTAATATATCTTTAAATCCTTATTTTTAATAATTAAAAATAAAATAAAATAAAATGCATTATTTAACGAAAAAGGCATACTTTTTTCCACTAAGTGCCATTATATAATTTTTGTAATTTTTTATAATTTAGATAAAATATTTTATCTTTTTTAATGCTATATTTTCTAAATAATTTCATTTCGCATTTTTTTTTATTCTAGGAGTTTTTCGTTTTCTAATTATTCATTTATATAAAAAGGATAATAGCCATTTAGTTAAAAGAAAAAAATATGTATAAATATCAATGAGAAGAAAGAGAAATAGAATAAAAATCGTATGATAACATTTTTATATTTATTTAAACATTTCAAAGTTTGTAAATTTTTTTAATTTAGGATTTTTTGTGAATATTGTTTATTTTTTTATTCTTTTTTTTGTTATAAAAATATAATTTTTTGAAGCAATTATACAAAATTACTAGAAAATAATTTTTTTTTTTTATTTCTAAAAGAAAAATATAAAACAAAAAGACTAAAAAAAATTTATAAGTATATAATTTTTTTCCTTTTTTTTTTCTTTAAATTCGCATTCATTCATTCATTCAAAAATATATGAATTTGAGGATTTTAGTATATATACAAGATTTAGAAATTTAAATTAGTATAATTATGTAAAATATAACAATAATTTTATTTATATGAAAATGATATAATAAAAGGAGAAAAGGGAAAACATTAAGAAAAATTATAAAAAATTATCTATAACATCCTTATGTAGATTATAGACATATGCAATGATTAATATGAAAAGAATTTTGAGAATAACAAAAAGTATTTAATTAACAGAAATACATTTATATTATGCTAAAGGGGGTTGTCATAAACAATCCTTTCATATGTATGAAGGATGATAATTATTTAATGATAGATACTTTAATAAAATTAATTATATATATTTAATCTAATTATTTTAGTAAAATTATATAAGAGCAGCTAAATATACAAATAATTATTAAAAAATAAGAAAATAGTGGTTTTAATTATAAATTTTTGCTTTAAATTTTTGTTTTAAAATTAATAAGACAACATTAATCATTAAATACTTTTTTTTAAAATTAC